CCAAGGAATGCCAGTGCCTCTAGGAATTGGAAAAGGCAAGGAAATACATTCTCCTCTAGAGCCTCCAGGCTGAACACAGCCTGGCTGACACCTTGATTTTAGCTCAGCGAGACCCATTTTAAACTCCTGACCTCTAGAACTGTAAGACTATAAATTTGTGTTGTTTAAGCCACAAAGTTTGTGGCAATTTGTTACAGAAGTGATAGGAAACTCATGTCATAAGCAAATATTATATGCGATCGACTGATGTTTCTTCTAAAGAAAATTTGAAACATATATCTAAAAGTCGAAAGAGTTCGAATACTCTCAGAGAAGCTGGCCAAAATGACACTCAAAGACAATTACCAAACCACTATGTTCAAAATGGTTTCTAGTATTTATTCAAAACAATGGCATTGTTATTTAATTTTTTTAGGAGTTAGTAAATTTATTGGGGGAAGCACCCTGAAAATGAGCTCCACACAAACTTAACTGTAAGGGGCAGGTTATAATGAGTCACTCAGTAAAATAACTCAACAGCAACTCTTTTATTTATCTCTTTTCTGCATTTGGATAGGTAATCAGAAATGCTCCGGAGGAAAACAGCACAAAAATGTTCTCAGTTACTGAATTTCCATCACCTATCGGTACAAGAAAAATAGAAATGCTTCTTATTTAAACTGAATAACTTTTATCCTGCCTACTCATTGATTTTCAATACATCTTTAATGTGACAGGTCAAAAATATGAAATGTAAAATATAGCGAATGCCTGGTGAAGTACAGCCCTTTGGACACAAGAGGCTCTCAGAAGCATTTGCTGATTTGATTGTTGTGAAGAGATTCTAGAGGTGATAGCTTTGACTTGTGAGACTAGCTCTTCAGAATGCCCACACACTGAGAGCAAGCCAGTCGCCGTGGAACTCAGGGCCACCTGCATGTCTAGGGCAATGGTTCCCAACTGGGACCAAAGCGGATGACCATGGCATGTCCGCATCGGAGCTGCTGTCTCAGCTCATGCCTCCCTAGGGACCAGTGGCATCATACATACCATACATTCCTCCTGGACCCTTGGTAAACATTTCTATTCATCTGTGTATATCCTGCTAATGATGTCAAATTACTGACAGTAAAGTAATCTATCTTCATAGCAAGACCAGAAAAATAGAAATACAAGATCAATGACCATATGATGAAAAGGAAATCAATAGAACAACAACAGACCAATCAAAAAACCCCTTAGCTAATTATTAAAACTGACCATCCAATCAAACTCTGAATTTCATAGAATCTGAAGGAAGATGGAAATCAGGGTACATACTGGAATTCTCATTGCCTGATAAGTGCTACCTTCCTAAAGGAAATCATTGACTTTGTCTGAGGACCACTGACCATTTTAATGGTTGATACATTGTCTTCAACAGTTTTGTAGGAGAGGCAGAATGCTAACACGTGTCTGGTTTTTCTCTCTTTGTTTTAGTATTTATTTAGAATCAGTCATGTCCCAGGAATTGTCCTTGGCTCTGAAATAAACATGCCAAAGTTCCTGCTCTCACAAAACTTACTCTAGGGAGTAGGGTGGGGAGGACATGTGATGAGCAGGTACACAAAGAAACATACACAGGCCATCTCAGATGGTGTAAGTACTACAAAGAGATAAACGACAGGCTGTTCAGTAAGTATTTATTTAGAATCAGTCATGTCCCAGGAACTGTCATTGGCTCTGAAATAAACATGCCAAAGTTCCTGCTCTCACAAAACTTACTCTAGGGAGTAGGGTGGGGAGGACATGTGATGAGCAGGTACACAAAGAAACATACACAGGCCATCTCAGATGGTGTAAGTACTACAAAGAGATAAACGACAGGCTGATAAAATAAGACATGACTGAGAGAGAGTTTACTTTGGATTGTGTACTCAGGGGAATCCTCTCTGAAGAAATTTTAATTGAGACCTGATTCCAAGGAGAAGGCTGAAGAAGAGCATTTTAGACAGAAGAAAGAGCCAGCACAAATGTCCTAAGGTGGAAACTACCTTGTTAGTTTGGGGCGGGGGCGGGGGGGGAACCAGTGGGGAGCACAGTGCAAGATGAGGTGTTTTACAGATGAGAATTTCTGATATGTTGGTTGTGTGGAGTGAGGGAAAGGGAGCAATAGGGATGGTTCCAAGGCCTTCTGGATTGAGAAACCAGACCTGACTGAGAAGAATATGTCCATTGTTAACACCAGCTCTCCATAAAAGCCAAGCAAGGTGTTATAATATCTAACCAACTAGCAGCTGGGATCCTTGCTAACTCCATGGCCTTGGGCAAGTAGATTTATCTTTCTATACCTCAGTTTTTTCATCAGTGGAATGGGAATTACAATAGTACCTACTTCGTAAAGTATTGTGAAAACTAAATAATCATGCCCGCACGGTGCTGAGAATTAATTCATTCATTAGAGCAAGGGTCAGAAAACTAAAGCTTGTGGTTTAAATCCAGCCCAGTACCGGGTTTTGTAAATAAAACTTTATTGGAACAAAGGCGTGCCCATCAGTTCACAAATTGTTCGTCTGCTTTCATGCTATGAGAGCAGAGTTGAGTAAATGCGACAGTGACGATCCGTTCCACAGAGCCCCACATATTTACTATCTGACCCTTTAGAGTAAAGATTTGCTGACCCCTGAATTAGAGAATTAAATAACTAACAACTGTGCAGGTAAAGGTCTTAGAACAGAGCCTGGAACATCATTAACACTCGATAGAAGTTGGCTCTTGTTATCACTCCATGTACATGATCTCATTTAACCCAAATGGAGCCCTGTGAAGGGGACGTGTCTGTCCCCCTTTTAAAAAGGAGAGTCGGTGGTTTGCCTACACTGAACACGTGGCAGAGATGGAACCTAAACTCACGTCTTCTACTGTCAAACCCACCATCTCTCCTTTATCTCGAAGCTCACCTTGGCTAGTATATACACCTGTCTTAAACATATTCCTACTGGGTTTACTTGTTGCAGGACTCTCCAGTTTCCTACTATACGAATAAATGGATAGTTCACGGACAAAATATGTAGAATGTTCTCCCCTTCGAATCTGGTTCAGCAATGCCAACAACAACAACAAAAAACCTTTTGGTTTTAAATGAAAAGGAAAATTTGCACCAAATAAGGACCAAGACTGCAAATTCAATAAGAAAATACTTCCTACCTTGGGGCATTGACAATGATTCCTCCGCACTTTCTTCAGGGAGAGGGGTTGAGGATTCGATGGCTGTTAAGATGTAAAAATATTTATTCCCTTCACCAGCCATACTCAGCCCACATCGTGAGAAAGAACATATGTCGAACAAATAATTTACCAAGATTTTTCCTTAACTAGTGGTAGGAATAGTGCTTTTCCTACAACATTTCCACTGGGAAAATAAAAATATCAATACTAGAGAATAACTTAAAACCCTCATGACCGAATGAAAATAAAGCTAACTCTTATGAAAGGGCAAAAGAGGCCCGACAGCATTTTCATCTTGGTGGTGGGATCATTTTAACAGCCCAGGAATGGGGAAATGGCAAATAATGTTTGCTGAAATACGGCAGTCTGATGCCTCCCAGTCTTTATTCCATGTTTTCCTTTCTGGTTTACCTTACACCTGCCGAGGAAGCTCAGAGAATGGAAAAAGTCAGGTTGATAAAACAAAAGCATGAATTTACTTGCCCAGTGCAGGTTTTAAATACTCAGTCTCTGTTAATATATGCGGGGGGAGAAAAGATCACTTTAGAAGGGGGCTTTTATTTCCCTAAAAATGCTTCCATTCAAAATAAATTTTAAAGTGAAAGAATATGACGCCTAGAAATAAAAATATTGACTCTCTTTCTTTAATTCAGATGGCTTTAATTAACCGTCGAGCATATAAATATCAGCACAGTGTGTCTAATAATGCATGATCCACCCAGAGTGGCTGTGCCGTGTCCACCTGTGGACTGTAAACCTCCAAATAGAAGGCAAACACTTGTCGCACACGTAAAAGCCCAGTGGCTTTACAGAAGGGACTGCTTTGAGGGGATTCTAAATCAAAAACCCAACAATAACAACAACAACAAAGCCAAAGCAAAGGGAAAAAAGAGAAAAAAATAAATGTAATCAACCCCCCCCAACCACACGTACACACCAATATTTGAGCTGTTTGAATTGACTTTAAAAACTTATTATTTACGTTAGTATCGTATAGTCTTTCTGGCTGGATACAGGTGGAATTTTTAGCAAGTGACAAAGTTCACTGCTCTGGACCCACTCAATTATTTCTTTTATTTCCCCTTGGCACACTTTTGTATCTAGCATCGGTAATATGCTGAATATTAGTCACGTGTGTGGTGGAAATTTGTTTGTGTATCTAGAGTAGTGGTTCTCAATAGGAGCCCCTCCCCCGCTCCCCGCCAAGGGACATTTGACAATGTCTGAAGACATTTTTGGTTGTCATTCAGTGGGTAGAGGTCAGGGATACTGCTAATTACCCTATGGTGCACAAGACACCACCCACCAGAAAGAATTACATGGCCTCAAATGTCAACAGTGCCGAGTCTGATATGACTAACTGGTCAGAGATTTGTGATTAGCAATGCGTGGCCTGGACTCACAATCCACAGGGCAAAAATCAGCGCTACTTTAATTTATAAACTCCTCATTTCTTCACCTTCATAAGACTACGAACTTTCAGTGGGAAGAAACTTGCTGTCTTAGCCCCTCACGATGCCCTGAAGAAACAAATAGAGAATACCCTCGGTGAGCGATCGACGCCACTGTCGACTTAAGTGGCATTTTCACCAGTCATTTTGAAGCCTAGTCCTTGTAACAGAACCACCAAAATCTTCCACTGCTCTCCCTGTACAAAATCCATTTCAACATCTTGTGGCTAGCAAATTTCTGAGCTCAAGTTGAAGCTCTCCAGTTACCAAGGCGTGTTTACTTTCAGCTCCCCAAAGTGGTCGGAGATGGCCTTCTATGACACAGGCGCAAGCATTGCCAATAAGATTAGCGGAGGTGCCCACTAGATAATGAGATGTGCGTTACCTGAGCAGACGACACCGGCTTCTTCTCCAGGACCGCAGTTATGGAGGGACCAGCCAGCATGAGGACACTGTCCCAGAAAACTCTCTCTTCCTGTACAGTCCACATCATTCAACAGAAACTTGCCTTCACCTTCACCAAATTCAGCCTCACCAGGGGCTGCGAGGGCCTGCCCACAGTTCAGCTGCCTGCATACCACCTCGGCGTCATTCATGTCCCAGTGGTCATCACAAACCTTGCCCCACTGGCCACGGTAGAACACTTCCACACGTCCAGAGCATCTGCCTGACCCACTCACTAGTTGTAATTGCGGCCAGCCTTTTAAAGATAGAAAAACATTGCCTGTTAGGAGAAGGAATATATTCTGCGTCAACCCATCTGTTTAACCAGGCAGCAAGTTTTTATTGAACAGGTGCCAGGTCCCAGTAGGTAGCTCGGCAGATACCGTGTGGTTCACAGAACACACCTGATCTTTGCTTTCACTGAGTTTAGAGTCTAGTTTGAGGAGACTGGAGAAGGCAGTGACATTAATCCAAAACTAAGTTTACAAATTGGCAGTTACAAAATAGTGACAGGGATGTGAAGGATAGCATAGGAAATATAGTCAATACTATTGTAAGAACCATGAATGGTGCCAGGTGGGTACTGGAGTTGTCTGGAGGATCGTAAGTTATATAAATGTCTAACCACTATGCTGTATGGCTGAAACTAATATAATATTGAATGTCAACGGCGATTGAAATTTTTTTAAAAATTAAAACAAAAACAATGATAACAAAAAACAAAACTAAATTTAGATATATAATAACTATGCTAAGGGCTAAGAAGTGAAGGGAGATTTAAATATGTGCAATGTTTTAAGAGTACATGATTGGAGTGGGAATTCCAGAATATCTTTTCTAAGATGTAATGACAGACCTGAGGCTTGCAAGAAGCGTAGGGAATTCGATGGACAAAAAAAGAACAGGATAGAAATCTCTCTTTGGTAGTATGTGTTAGGTTGGAGACCTATCTGCTGTTTAGAAGCACACGACCCACTGAACCACATCAAATGAGGAGTTAGAAAACCTTGACTCACCACCAGGAAATGGTGTTAGGATCTCAGCAACCGAGAGCAGAGAGAAAGAGGTGTCATTGTCATGTGAAATAGTCCGCCCAAGTTGACCGGGGAGTGATGCACGTGTGTGACAGTCTCACAGAGCAGACCTTGAGCTCAGGGCATGCTTTGGGAAATGTATTCTGTAGGCTGTTTTTGAGTCATGGCAAGCGAACATCCATATGTACTCGGGCAGCTCAGTGTCACTCACATATGGTTCTTTTAAACTGGATTCTTCGTGCAAACGCATCTCTTCCAGAAAGGCAAAAGGGTGGACTATGGGTAGAAGTGTATTTCTCATTAAGGGATTTCCAAAGAAGAGGGGTGACAAAGGGCTCAGGTTAACCATAAAGGGTGTGCTTTCCTTCATTCGTCTCTGGATCTGCCGAATGGGATGGAAAGGTACCCAGGGCCCTGAGGCCATGCCCGGGTCTGCTCAGACTCACAGGCGTCATAGGAGTGTCTGAAGTCCGATGCTTTTTAGTCTGATTTTAGTTCACTTACATCTTCGAATAACTTATCTAGTCATATTCATATCCTCACTCTCTAATTTTCTAAAATACATTTGGGCAACAGGAACAAAACAGTTTGGGGAGAAAATGTTTCCTACATGGTTAAAGGAACCATGTTTTTGTGAGTCCTTTGCTTTGGTGAGTCCTTTCGATTATTACATTCACTATTTGCCTCTGCCCCTCCCCCTACCTCCTGCAGTGGGTGATGTTGGTAAATACAGAGGACTGGGGGCATACACGCTGTTGCGGTGAAGATATACTAAAGTATGATACCAAAAGCTCTTAAAGTTTCGTATTCATATTTCATAAGAAAGAAAAAAAGTTGAGTGTATTTTTAGAGATGGTAAAATTTTTAGAGATGCTAAAAATTCTGAAATGCACAGCACTTGCTGGAAGGGTCATCTATCGTCTCATTGCTGTGACCTCAGTGAAAAAGTTCAGCCTGGAATTAGTCTTATATGTAGTTATTCCAAAAAGGAATCTTGGAAGGAAAGATCTTTTGACCGTTTTCCGTATTCATTGAAATATAAATATCTTAGTCTAAACTCCATACTTAGGAAGAGCTGAATGGAACAAAACATGTTGGGGAGAAAATGTTTCCTACATGGTTAAAGGAACCATGTTTTTGTGAGTCCTTTGCTTTGGTGAGTCCTTTCGATTATTACATTCACTATTTGCCTCTGCCCCTCCCCGCACCTCCTGCAGTGGGTGACGGTAAATACAGAGGACTGGGGGCATACACGCTGTTGTGGTGAAGATATACTAAAGTATGATACCAAAAGCTCTTAAAGTTTCGTATTCATATTTCATAAGAAAGAAAAAAAGTTGAGTGTATTTTTAGAGATGGTAAAATTTTTAGAGATGCTAAAAATTCTGAAATGCACAGCACTTGCTGGAAGGGTCATCTATCGTCTCATTGCTGTGACCTCAGTGAAAAAGTTCAGCCTGGAATTAGTCTTATATGTAGTTATTCCAAAAAGGAATCTTGGAAGGAAAGATCTTTTGACCGTTTTCCGTATTCATTGAAATATAAATATCTTAGTCTAAACTCCATACTTAGGAAGAGCTGAATTCATTCAACTAGGGTTGGTTTTTCTCAGTTTCTCAGCCTGAGATTGTGGTTGGAGACACTCACAGGCCAAACGATACATTTTCCTAAAAGATCAATGATGCCTGACGTGGAGTATTTAAAATGTTGTTTTCATATTAAGATATATATGGGTTTAGTATAACTTGGAAGTAAAACTCCATGTGACTTGTTAAGATAAAAGGATTTTAAAGAGAGTCTCTAGAACTCTGGGCTTTGCTGTGGGGGGCATTTGAGAAACAGGAATTGATTAATCCATTAACATTCGCTCTCTCACTCAGATAGTCAATTACTCCTTTCCCCAATTAACGTATGTAAACTTTCTCTCAACATCGCCGGAGGGAAGGGCGCTTAAGGAAATGAAATGTGGGTAGCGTGAGTTTTGATGATGTGGGAAGTTGGGCTGGAGGCCCTGGTTTAAATCAATTAGGTCAGCTCAGCAAGGGGGTTCTCTGCATGTGGGGAGCTCGCCGGGGCTTGGGACATGTGAGTATTCGGAGCTGAAGTAGGTAAGATGGGTTTGGATGCTGGCAGAGCATCAAAGACAACTCCGAACGTTTGCAAATCCCACCACCTAGATTCAGGGCGATTTTTCCAGAACGTAGGCATGTTTGGTGGAGCGGACAGAGCACCAGGTATGGAGTCCAGAGGCCTGAACAGCTGCCATGTGACATAACTTGGTCGTGGTTTCCTTATTTGTAAAATAAGGATCACAAAACAGGCCCGCCTGAGTTGTGTAAGGATGGAATGGGGTAGCGGGTGGAATGTGCTTAGAAAACTGGAAAGCGCCACGTGACCAGATGGGATTCTTGCTTTAAGGCAGTCTTTTGGGCAAAATCATTCAACAGATTCCGTATACCCGGACTAGGAGTAGATGACATGCTAAGAACACAATGAAGAGACGATGACACCAGCATCTCCCCCACATTCAGTTGTGGGTGAACCAGCTGGTGTGGGAGCCTGGCCCCAGCTCGGTCTGGGTCTCAGAACATTGTCCAGAAGAACTGGGCCGGGGCCCTGGCCAAAATGGGCCTCTGTGGGGACAGAGACCGCTGTCCCATAGCCCAGCTGCTGGCACACCACCTGCGCTTCATTCTCATCCCATAGGTCATTGCACGTTGCGCATCATACACCCTCAAAATAGACTTCGGCACAGTCAGAACACCTTCCAGAACCTTCCATGAGCAGCGCAGCAAGCCAGTCTTTGGGAGAAGGCAGCCCTCCTCCGACTCCCATCAAAACGTTGGTGAGTGGAGTCATGACCTTCCCCACCACCGTCATCATCAAGATAATAAGTACCATTTATTGAGCACCATCTGCGTTTCAGATACTGTGCTAAACCCTTTACAACGGACATGTTTTTAAGGCTCGCGACTACCAGAGCGGTCACCACAGCGGACTCCAGGTCCGTTTCTCAGCTCTGCCACGCACTCGCTGTGTGATTCGTGTGGGCCCCTTCACCTCTCATTTTCCTTGTCTGTAAAGGGGGGACGATGGTGACAGTGCCTGCCTCAAAGGAGGTTAACGAATCGAGTCTACATAAAGGGCCTGGCACAGAGGCAGCACTTGGGAGCGGGCGATTTTTACTATGTCCATTTTACTAATGAGTAAATAAGAGATAAAGAGACTGATAGAAATTCCCACAGCTAGCCGCTGACCGCAGCCCTCACTGGGGTGGTCCCGACTTCTTTCTTCCCAGAGGCTAGGGAGTAGCACTTCTCAGAATGTGGCGTTCACATAACATACATCTTTTGAATCTCTGGGGAGGTATGCTAATCATGCAGATTCCTTGAGTGCACCCCATGTCTGGGAGTGGGGCCTGGGGTTTTGCATGCTCAACAAGCTCTTGGGGGCATGACCATATACCCCAAGACTTAAGAGCCCCTGAAACAGAGTCCCTGAAGTCAGTCTTTAATGTGTGGGGACCATGAAATTAGATAAAGATCGGAGGGCATCCCTGTCTTGTTAAGCAGAAATGAAAAAGGGGTGTCTTTATTTCTGGGGATGGGTGACTTGCCCCGCTGGGTGGGGACTGCCCACCCCCAGGGCCCTTCGCAGCTTCTCTGCACCCTCCGTCCCCTGCTCTTCCGGGCCAAGGGGGCTATTCGGTTCTGACTCACCATCTTGCTGCTCCGCAGGTGTGTCTGGCATGGTGCTTCTTTGAGAGTGTCTCTTCTTTGGCTGTTCTCTAGGTCCTCCGATGTCCCACCTGGAGCAAACTGAGACACATCAGCCATGTTAAAACCCAGGTGTTCGGGACAGGGAGAATACGACCCAGCATCAGAAAGCAGCGCGGGGCCCTACTCCGAACTCACTGACTCACAGGCTCAGCAGAGCGGGGCCTGGAAATCCAAATTTTCAATAATCCAAATGATTATTTTGTCGTGCGGCTAATTTTGGAAACCATGTTCTGGGGTTGGCTTTCCTTAAGCTCTTGCTTTGACGCATACTGGGTCCTCCTTTTGACCAAGTAAGTGTTGGTACTGGTTACTCCAGCTTTCAATATTTTGTTATGCATCTCGGCTATCTGTAGTTAACGTTGAAGCATTTTCTTTAATTAAGCTACAGTTTACACATAAATTTAACCATGCTTTTTAGTTTTTATTTGGTGTCTTATAGTATCTCCCGAGTTTATCTTTTTTACAAAAAAAAAAAAAAGTCCTTTTTTTGGCTTTAAGTTAATTTTTCTATTTTTTATTTTTATAACAGGTTTTCCTTTAGGGATTATTTCATTCGTATCAGTTAATTAATTTTACATGTTGGGATGTGTCTTGTAAAGGCAGCTCAGGTGAGGGATGAGATGTTTGGCAGCTGCAGTTCAGTTTTTTCCTGGTTCCCAACGCTTTCTGGTTAAGCACAGTCACTTTGATCTTTGAAGAAACAAACAAGTAATAGCCTCCAAAGCAGCCTCTCTGACAGATTTCGCACCTTGAGCCTTTCTGCCCTTCAGCTCCCACCTGTTTCTTTCAGCCATGATGAAGTGAAACCTTTCTCGGTAGACAAACCACCCAGGATATAGGTCCGTGATGCTTTGGGTGTGAGTAGATTTACAGCTGTGCATTTAAACCATGTCTGTTGGGGAGGGTCTGCCGGCTCTTGTCATTGGATAAGGTCCCGATGGACAGATCAGAGACATATAGAGCCTAGTACTTATAGCTGGAAAAAAAAAATATCTCTGTTGCCTGCAGAGATTGGACACAAGAGCAAAGGGGATGCAGTCCAGTGACCAGCAGTGTGGTCTGGGCTGCCCGGCCAAGGAGAGGCCTCTGTGTGGGGAGATATTTCTGGAAGTCAACTAATTTGGTGGCGTTAATAACAATAGTGAACCCTCATTCGATGCCTATTGTGTGCCCGTCATGAGACTAAGCACTTTCCATGTCTTAATTACCTTGATCCGACTTGAAAGCAACTCGATTATTGTTTCCATCCCCATTTAATAGATGAGGAAGTTGAGACGCCAAGGAGCCCAGACCTCACAGCTGAGAAGGGCATGCTGGGATTTAGTTTCAGAGTCTGGCCATTGAGTCCATAAATTATCCAGCCCCTCACGTTCCTGGGTGCTTCCTCATCTTTCCTTTACTTCTTTCCCTCCCACACTTCCTCCGTCCCACCATCAGGTCGGGTTAATTCTTCCACTTACGATGCCACTGCTACCTACCTATTCCTCTGCGTGAGCAACCATCCCTGTCTACACAGAGCATTTTCCAAAGCACTTCCACAGCCGTCATCTCGTTAGCGTATCAAGAAGCCCTGTGCCGTGTGCTCAGCAGGCCCAGCAGGGTGACTGGATAGCAGACGGTCGCGCCTCAGATAGCAGCATCTCTGCCGCTGCTGTCCCGGCCCCTCCTGGCCACCCTGAATTAGGGTTTTTATTTTTTTAACTTTGTGTGGACTCACATGAACTTTTTTAACCAGCTTCCTTAACTCCATCTCCCCTCACCTTAGGCCGTGTCACCTGTGTACTCATTCCCCTGTCGCCTGCGGCACTTCACCCGTCACCTGTGTGTGTACTCATTCCCCTGTCGCCTGCGGCACTTCACCATCCAGTGAATCAAGGCCAAAGTTCTTGGCCTGAATTTTAAACCCCTCCGTAATCACAGTCACGGCTTCCTTTCCAGGTCCTCTCCTGTTTACACATCCTTCTCCCCAGTGAGAAGGGAGTGTCACAGTGCCCATCTCTATGACTTCTCGTGGGTTATTAAAATTCCTTGGAATGTCATAATCCCTCATGTCCACATGGCATCCCAGCCATCTAGGCGAGATCAATCCCAAACAGGAAACCTTTATGAAGTGTTTCCTAATTCCCCTAACTGACCTCCCAACGTCTTCATATTCAGTTCACTCAAGTTTAACAAACATCACTGAGCACCTGGGGACCCAATAACAAATGATAATGTCCCAATAACTCACTGGATATCCATCGGCTTGGAACTTCCTATATTCACATCTTGTCTCCCCAGTGAGATGGGAGGATCCTGGATGGAAGGAACCATCCTCCCTGCAGTGCCTGGAATCTACTAGGCACCCGCTAAATGACTGGCAAATGAATTAACGGTGTGGGGCGTCAGGAAGACCTTGAAGAATGGACCAGCTAAATTTAGAGGAAGTGAATCAATAGGGATGAGCCCTTCTCTCTAGGAATCAAGAAGAGAACCCTCTGAACTAGAGTAGCGGCTCTGTGTTGGAGGAAGGGTGGGTATCAGGATGGATAAATAGGAAAGATTGATTTTTTTTTTTAGGGTTTTGAATTCTAGGAAGAGAAATATGGACATTTTAAGTGATGGTGGAGGCTCCATTTCGAGTTCTTGCTCAGAGAAGGGACATAACAGCACAGAGCAGGGGTGGCCAGAAATGAGCAAGAAAAAAAGATAAGAATGAACCAGAAAGTATCATGGGCTTGGACTATGACCGCAGCTCCCAGTATATAAAAGGAGGGAGAATAAAATGTAACACAGTGTGTTTTCAAGGTTGGTCTCCCAATGACCTTAGTCAGAATCACCGGAGAAACTGCCTGACCCCAGACCTACCGACCTATGAGATTATGGCCCATGTTTATAATGAGCTTCCCAGGTGGCAGTTATACACACAAAAACCCGTGCCTCGATTACCCATGGAATACAGAGAAAGGAAAACAGTGAAAGGAGACGTTGACCGCAAGATTTTAAGGCAATTATGGGAGACTGTCAACCAGTCCTCCTCTAATATGGACTGACCGAAACAAAGTAGTTTTAAATTGGGGAATGTACAGTAGATGCTGCACCCACTGATTTCTCAACCTTGTACTTCAAAACATCAACAACGAAGCTAACATCGATTGAGCACTTACATGCCTCCGTTCAACTGGTATCACTGAGCACCAACTATGTGTCAAGGACTGTTTGAGGTTGTCGGTGTTCATCACTAAACGAAACAGAGTAAGACCCCCATCCATGCGAAGTTTACATTCTAGAGGAGGGGGACAGTCAATGAACAAAACAGAAAATAGATAAGTGAACTCCGTAGTATCTTAAAAGTGATAAGTGCTGAGAACATAAGAGCTGGTAACAAAGATCGGGATGCTCGATGGGTGCACAGAGTAGGCTTGATTGAGAAAGTAACATTCAAATAAAATTTGAAGCAGGAGAAGGAGTTAGACCTGTTGAAAGTCTGACCTAAGGTGAAGATGACAGCAGACAGCTATGGCATCCGTGTGGATCCGGCTGAGATCTGACTCTATGGGCTTCTGTCCTGACCATGGTGTCAGGGATGGAAGCCCAGGGTCTGAGGAACAACAAAGGCAGGGAGGGCTGAGGGCACCGGGCAGGGTCCGTGGGCGTGAGGGAGGGAAAGGAGGTGGTGGCCAGAGTGTCGGACACAACTGAACTGATTGTAACCTGATGGCTTGTGGTTTTCAGGGACTATTTTAACTATTTAACTTGGATTGTGTTGATCAGATAAATTCTATATCAGGGAACAATGACATTTTCAGAAATAGCCCTTTCTTCTCCAGTGGTCAACAAGTTGCCCTTTGTCCTTACATTTCCCATGTGAATCACCCTAATATTAATTGAGCTTCAGTGGTCTGCAAGGCCCCAAATCCCTCCCGATATCAGTGAGACCTGCACTGAACCGTGGTTGTATTTCTGAGTGGCTGTTCCCGGAAGGTCTCACTGGCCCCATTGTCTGGAAGACTCTTGTGCAATAGGCACGAAGAGCCTATAAACACCTATAAGGCCATATCATATCACTAATCCATATGCTCCTGGAAGCTCAGAAACACTCTCCTATAAACTGTAGAGTGAAGTACACATCTTGGGAGAGAGGGGAAGCGATAGTGTAAGTGTGGACGAAAGGATTGAAAAAAGGTGAAGATAAAGAAGGAAACAGTCCTTGAGAAAATGGCCCCAGTGATAGCTGATACTTGCAAATCGTGTCCATAACATCTATTACACCTCTCAAATATCCTTAGATTTCAGCAACTCAGGGGAAGCCTCACAATCCTGTTGTGTTTATTTTGACAGGATCCAGCCGGCAGACATCAACGATGCGATGGTCTCGCTCATTGTTTTTCATTCATTTTTCAGGCTGTTTACGGAGTGTCCTCTACTGCGCCAAGAACTGTGCTAGGAAATGGGTCCATAAGGGTAACAACGTGGGCCCTCAGTGTGGCAAGAATCTGGCAGTAAGTTTGCAAATTTGAAGGAAAGAAGGATAAGGCAGAGGAAGAAGAGGGCCGCATATTGTTGTAACTGGATTATCAAAATGCCCAATTCATTATAATTAACAGCCCTCGTTTTGGCTGATTTTGCCATTGGGACTTGGTTTTTTGGTGTGATGGGAAAAGTGGGTGGGACCGGAAGCGAGGCTGATCTCAGTTCCAGGGACCCCCTCTCTGCCGCTTTCAACATGTAATCAAGTAGTTATCTTGAGAGACTCACTGAATTTTAAGGTGGCTTTTGTTCTAGCTCCCAGAAATCATTAAACTTACAGATACCCAACTGGGGATTTTCTCTTCATTTCCCGCCTCTCACGTTTATTCTAAATCCTTGGGCACCTAATTCCAAACAGATCGAATCATAGTCCAGTTCTATTTTCCAAGAGAAGCGATGTACTTCGAATAGGTCCATAACTGTAACAGACGTGTGCCCTGGGGGCAGAGTTGACTGAGATTCATTCCAGATTGTTCCAGGGGTCGCTCTCAACCATGCCGATAAGGACATTGCCACAGCCCATACTTGATTATTTTCAGCACCATCGAATTCAACATCATCTTTGCCACATTGGAACAAACAGAGAATTTTGAATACTCTCAGAAATTTGAAAAATGTTATGCTTCAGAAAGCTCCATCCCTTTCTCGTCTACACTTGGTAGAGGTCATTACTACAGAGTGCCTGCCTGAACAGTATTGATACGCTGGGCGGCAGGGAGGGGTGGGGGTGGTGACAAAAAACCTTCACTGCTAGATATACTAAAAATATCAAATCTCTTACTTGAAACTTATTACCGAAATACTGAAAGGAGAAAATATCTTGGTTTCTTGGGGGAATGGAAACATTAGGTGAAATCTTATCATCTGAATCTGATAACCTATACTTTCACTTCTCGGTTTAAAATACACAGTTTAGAAACTATAGATTTATAATAATAGTTAACATTGATTTAGTATTTCCTAGGCCTGAGGCATTCTTCCAAGTGATTTGTGGACATTTCATTAAATCTCCTCAACAATCCAATGAATTATCGCTTTTATATGTGAGAAGAAACAATAGCATGGAGAGATTAAAAAACTTGCCCAAATTCACATGGTCAGGAAATACATAGTTAGGGATTGAATTATGCAGAACTTTCTGTCCCTAAAGCCATATTCCCAAACTCTTACATCATCGGATCTATAAATGAAAAACAAGGCCCCAAATCCCCAAAGATTTAAGAAATCACTTAAATCCTTCTTAACACGCTAGTATGTTTTAATAAATGTTTGAGTAGCTGACATAAATGTATCTATTCAATTACTTGCAGAATAAAGAGTTCGAGTATAAACTTTACAATCAAACATTATTCTGTGGGCGGTGAGTTAGATTTTTCTTTACAGTGAATAAAAATTATAGTCGAGCTATTTGTTGATTAAGGGTATTTCCAAACTTTCATTTGTTAGTATAAAAAGGAAAGCTAAGCCACAAAGGACTTCGATATTTCCCCCGAAAGCCACAAAAGATAAAAATAATTGAAATTATGTAGAGTTCAATAATTTCAATTATTTTAGTTCCAAATTAAATTAAAATTTTCTTAAGAGGACTAGATGTGGAGTACAGATTAAAACTAAGACTATCACATTGAAATTTTTTTAAATAGAAAGGTACAGAAGACTTCATGAATCAAGCCCAGATCATTTTATGTTACATCAGATATTTCAAACTAAGATATTCTTTTATGGTACATTCTTTCCACTTCATTCAGCAACGGTAAAGAAATCATAACAGTAATTCAATACCTCTAATGCTAAATATCAATATATAACACAAAGAACATTTTCAAAATCCTTATTTAATCATCCTACAGCCAAAAATTCCTTCTTTATCCATCTCTCTCCAGAATCCTAAAAACAGAGCCATGCTTTAAAAGAGCAGTAAATTGGCTAGTGCCTTGTTCACAGGAAATAAATCTCACGGAAAATATTTGACCCAACTTGCCTAATCGATCATGGTCATGTATTCCGTGATTGTCCCAGCAACACTCATTAGTGGTTAGATTGCATTAAACTCAGTAAAAGCTCTATTTTTCTGGATTTAATTTTAAGCTTTCCGACAGTGTGCGGGGGGGACTATGTGCAAATATCCACACTTTCCCTTTCAAGCCTGGAACAAGGCATGAGCAAATGGCCCCGGGGCATCAGCTGCTGTACCTGCTTCACGTAGAAAAACCGCATGGAAGAGCAGCAGCCAAAGAAGGCAGGCTGGGCAGCCCATCTTGGAAAGGCTTCTAGCTGCTGGAGAACATGGGGTTCAGCTTTTTATGCTCTCTAGGCTCCCCTGAGTGCAGGGGGGCGGATGCGGGGAGGAGGGCTGTGTAACTTGATACTCTTTTCAGGCTCAGATTGGCAGGCATTCGGAGCAGGGGACAACTCATTTGCTTTGGTGTTTTGTATGTATTTACTACGGGGAAAGGTGACTCTACCTACTAGAGGCATTCCATGGAATAGTTGGAAGGCGCAATCGGAGAGATGAAGAGAGAAATTGTATGCTGGTACCTGGCTAGGTTTTAATTCACAGAGAGTTACAGTTCAGGCTATGCAAGGTTTTCCTCAAGGATATACCCTCGCTCTGAATATACATATTCACTGTGACTTGTGATCTGCTGGGTAGGAATATACATTTTTGCTCCTTTTCTGGTCCCACAATTTTTCCGTTCCGCACTGTTCACTTTGTCACCACTAACGTCTTGAGCTTCTGTATCACAGTTATCTTTGTCATCATCTCCCGTGAAGTAGATCTAGATCGTAGGGCTAGACAGTCATGGAGAAATGCCCTGATTTGTAATCTGCAACAAAGACAGCTTCGACAGCAGCACCCGAGTCTCCACTCTCAAGAAGAGTTGAAGAAAGAGCAAAGCAAGCTGGCCTGCTCGCTCTTCAAACATTCCCGTGCCCCTTGAATTCTTCCTGCTTCTTATTACTTTTCGGAGCGGACTTCTTGCATTTTCTCCCGTGTATTCCGACACACCATGGGTGCCTGTCACGTCTTCCCCACTGAAGAAGAGGAGACCCAAACTATCTGGGGCCGACCTCATTTTTCACATCAGCACCTCGATGGGAGGTAGCTGCAACTGACTGAGGAGATGGAGCTGGGGTGATGGTGGTGGTCGTGATGGAGGCTGCCACGAGGGGGCGACCATGGGCGGTAGGGGCTGAGGTGGCACAGTGACAAGAACCGCAAGCCTCGCCTGTGACTGAAAGGGTGAGGGGTAAGAGGAGGGGCAGGTGAACCCAGCAGCCTCCGTAAGTCTGCACAGATTGTTCTTTTTTATTCTGAACATTTCTATTAAAAATATTAACGTTTGACTTCCCACTGATAGAATCAATGAACTCTTAAACAAAAAAGAGGCAAAACAGTGCACAACCGGGCATGCTCAGCCCGCCATTTTGAGATTCTCAGTCCTGGCCACTCAGGTGTCCTCCCTGGACTCTGCTCCAAGGCACACAGCTAGAAGACGATAAAAATGTACCCTCCTTGGGGTTAGATCCTGAGTAAGATATACTGTGCCTCCTTCCCTCGTACCTCACAGGAGTCTAGAATCTTTAGGAGATGCTTTGCCAACTGGGGTTTTAAGATAAGATGGTTTCATGTTTGTATACCGTAATTCACACGTTCTTCTCATGCTCAGGTAGGTTCGGCCTTCTCAAAAGGAGGCAACTCTTCCCTGGGCAAGTCCCAAGTGGGGCGAGGGGTCTACAGGGGAAGCTCAGACAGAGACCAGCTCTCTACACCATGCTCTCATGCTGTGGAAAGGAACCCGAGCCCTTTAAAACAACTCCTCAGCCGCACCTCAATTTGTGGAAAAGACCAGGGTTTCACACAGACATTTGCAAACCCAGGGGAAGAAAGCAGAGGTGCTTCCAAGTGGGGAACACATCTCATTCCCAGGCAGGAAGAGATAGGGCGGGGCAGAGGGAGGTTCTCCCTGCATCTTATGAAACATGGAAGACTCCGAGGATGATAGTGACACCTGGTGAAATTTCCTGGGAAACTGAAGGGCATTCAGGATTGAGTCCGGCCAGCAGGGATGTAGTCAGCCAGTACAGATCACTGGTAATCAACCAGTACCCTTGTAAAGAGACTGCAGATCTCTCTTACTGCTGGGTAGTGAGAACCTCGAATGTCCCCTACGACCACGTGGAAGCCCAGCCCCTTTCCTGAGCCCAGACCTCCCCAACGTAAAATGTAAACACAATGATAAGTCTGGTCAGCCCTGTGAGGTGCACTGTACCAGGGCATCAACATTTCAAATAACATCCAGTCTGTCATAGCAGATTACTATGTTATCTGGTTCTTTTGGGAAGCAGACACCTTCTTGAACTTATATATCATTTAAAAAATATATGCATATTTAAATGAGTTAAGGCACATATAGCTCCTAGATTGGTGCCTGCTCATAATAAATGTTCGATGAATGTTAGTTATTATCATTAATCTTGATGGCATTCCTTATTTCAGACCAAACCTGCCATGTGAGGGTGGTGACAATGAGCATTGCTAAACCTGTTCCTCTCAGTGTTTGTCTGTGCAAGTTTTCCCAGTTCATATTCAACTTCAATCTCCTTATCAGACTGATTTGCATCTTTCAGTCACCACATCACTTCCTGGGAAATCTAACCTCAGATTATATTGAGCTTGGTGGTTTTTTGTTTTGTTTTGCTTTTTCTAATTTTAAATAGTGTGACCTTGGGCAAATCATTGAAACTTTCCCAGGCACACTGGTTCTTTTGTCTGTAAAACTCATGTAAAGGGACCTCCTGAGGGAGAATCTGAAGGAAAGTCACCAAGTAGAGGCAGCTTCTGTGAGCTGCCTCTCCAACATTCTTTCACAAATTCACACATGGGACTCCTGGAAGCAAAGACCCTATAAATGCAAAAATCACTCTCATTTACAACTTCGCCCCATGTGCATATCAGGGGTGATGGTGGGAGCTGTCTTTTCTCTTTCGAGCATCTCTCCCTACTTGCAATTTGATTCCAACAGTTTTCCCTGTCATTTCTTTCCTACTGCATCTGAGCCACCTTCTCGCCTTGACCTTGTCTGAACTCTCATGCATCGGGAGTGGCAGAGCTGAGACTTGAACTCAGGACAAACTCCTTCACCAGGAGGCAATATATTTCTCCTCAAAATGAAACCTGGGCTCCCTGTCTTCCTTCTGTGCCTCATTTGTTGGTGTGACTGTTGGTGTGACTGGGGTCCCGACTTGTTAAGGGACTCGGACATATCAGCAACTTGGAGTTTCCAGTGCTGGTGTTCACAGTGCTGGTCAGAGGACTGAAATGGTTTGCTTTTTTTTTTTATTTGCACTTAATCATTTTCTTTTTTTTTCTAACTAGCTTTTGTCCTGGGGTTTGGTCTGTAAATAATCTTTTATTCTCACTTCCTGGAATATTATATCTTAAGTAGATATTAGGGAGAATTATGTATAGTTCTTAAGAACTATCTGTATCAAGACTTGGTAAAATGAGACAGACATCTGTGTCCGAAGTGTTTCTGTGGCAACTTATGTGGTTTGAATCGACTTCTATCTGCCCTGTGCCCATTTGGGTTTGGTGGACATGTCTCATATTATTTTACAATATTAATGTTTTCAATTTTATTCAAAAATCGAGAATTTAAAAGACTACTTGAAGTTGTAGAAATTCTTCTTGAAGTATTTGCAGAATCAGATCAACTGAAATTGCAGAGCAACAGACTTCCTAATCTTTGTCAATGGCCAAATATCCACTAGGAGCCATGAAGGTATTGTGACAAGTGCTGTCTTCTCTGCACAAGAGAACCCAAACAAAAACTTATACGTTAAGTACTTCAAACCTAGCTAAAAAGTGACAGAGTCAGGTAAAGTCAGTGTTTATTTTTCCCAGGCACTTAAAAAACCTTGTATTGCTTTAATTTGCCTAAAACTAATGTCCTTAAAACTATAACTGACCTTTGCAATATCGGGGAAAGAATTTGCTAAACTTGACAAAATAAAAAGCATTTGTATGAATTGTGAAAGTTTGGAGAACACCACCTATGTGTATGTCTTGGCATATGAAGAGCAAACATTCTTTTTCTCTTTCTTTATCTTTTAAAATAGTTGACTATTTCACCCCAATAATTGCTACAAAAGGTCATAGTTCAGACAAGTCTATCATTCTTGGAGAAACTTATGAGACATAAACCATAAATATAAACTCCCGTAAGGAGAAGAATTTCATGGTAATGTCTTCATGGCTTTTACTTCTAACATATGTTTCTTTTATTTCTTTTTTTCCATGCTTATTCATCATATAGCTGCCTAGGCCTAGGATATCTTAAAGCCGTGGTCTATAGTCACAGGTGTAGTTATATTTCAATGGGTCTTCTCTAAGTCACATCCCCGCTCCTCTCAAGTAAACGTCATTTGTACACAATGAATTGCAATAGGAGGCCATATTGCCTAAATGATTCTAAAGGATTACAGGGAAGAGGCAATAAAGACCTGACGGAAAGAGCTATGATGTGTTTACCAAAGTATGTAGAGACTGCCACCCACATAGGAAATACCCATATTCGGCATGAAAGGACTGTGATCCAAACTTAACATGCTTGGACTGTGAAAGTGGAAAGGAAGAAAAGACAAACTATGCAGCCACAGAATAAGGAAGACTTCGACGGAAATTACACCCTGAATAACAACATTAACGCTGATATGCATTGGTTTCTAATTCATAAATATTAAAAAGAAGACGGAGAATGGTTTGCACTTTTGAGATATCAAATAACCCACCTGAAATTATGGTATTCAGTAGTTCATCAACACCAACTTATTGTCTGGGTATTAACAATATAACCAGGCACCCCTGGATCTACCCAGATCCTGTCTCTTTGGGTTTCTGGACATAAAAGAATAGGACTTGCTCCTTCTCCGAGTCAGGCTGAGAAACAGAAAGTTCAGCTGGGAAATGTCCAGCCTTGCACAAGAAAGAAAAAACTCCTGCCTCCTTGGAACTCACACTCTAATTGGAGGAGAGAGAAAATAAACATTTTTTTTTTTAAATTAAAAAAAGACCAAAACAAAATGAAAATAAAAAAAAAGTAGTAATAAGTACTATAAAGAAAATATGTTGATTTCAACATATATGCCTGTCTCACCCCACTGCGTGAGATCTTCTGCCAGGGAGGAATGCTGTCTGTTCATTTCCATGTCCCCACCATCTAGCAAAGAGGAGAGCTCATGGCATGCTCGAATGAATGCTTTCATGCACACGGAAATGTAGGCATGAATGTGCAAATATTACAGAAAGCGCGTCCCCTTATAGAGTACTACGTTTTTAGTAGACTCTGTGTAGCTCCGAGGAAAAGGGTCTATTCTCCCATTTTATTTGTGTCCAGATTTCCTAAGGACAGGCAAGAAGGGGCATTCTAAATACAGGAAGGCTGCCCAGCCCCTTGTCTACTGCCTCGTTTGGTTGTAGTAGGACCAGTGGAATCATGGTTGGGTTTGCCTGGCGCCATCTTCGTGCCAGACTAATGCGGGAAGTTGTTATTGAAAGATAAGGGAAACCACAGTTAACACCTCCCCTCCATAATCTGATGGAATCTCAGAACTGCTCAGTCATTTCTGTGTTCGCCTGCAGAAAGTTAAGCGGATCTCCAGCCAGACCCTCCGGGGAAGCCATTAAGCCAAGTGAGCTCAGGCATTATTGCAGCTACAAGCTCAGGCAGGTACTTCCGTCATCATGGGAAGAGGGCAGATTTCTCAGGCATGCACCTACTGGTGCCTCCGTCAGTGACAGAGGGCCAACAAAGTACCCAACTCGCTCCATGGCAGAGAGCCAGGGAGGAGAGCGTAATGAAAAGCTAGAAAGGAAGAGGATCGTTTTAAAATGAAAACATTTGAAAGCAAATCGGTAGAGACAGAAAGTAGACTGGTAGTTGTAGGGAATTAACTGTAAACAGGCATGAGGGGTCTTTTGGGGGTGACAGAAATGTTCCCAAACTGAATCGTGGAGACAGTTGTACAACTTGGTTAAGTGTATTAAAAATCACTGAATTGCATATCTAAAGCAAGTGAATTTTATGGCATGTAAAGTATACCTCAATCAAGTTTTTAAAATTAAACCGTTGAGTATGCCACCACCCTCAAAGGAAGTTATTACGCATGCCTTACGCTCTCATGGGAAAGAGCCAGCTCTTCAGCGTGACCTGATAGACCCTTTCGATCTTCGCCGGCCTCTTTTTCTGGCCTCTTACCTGCCACGTCCCCACACTCCCTGTCCTCCCGCAAACCCAAACTGCTTTCAGTTCCCCACATGTACCAGGCGGGCCCAATTCTCTCACTCCTGTGTATGAAATGCCCACCTGCCCTCCTGCCCATCTGATTTGTTGAAGAAACTATAGCTTTAAAGCACAGAGCCTCTCACATAAAGTCTGGATATTACGCAATGTTGGAAAGGAACACCGTTCCCATAAGCCAAGGGGACTGTCTACATGGAGAATGTTAGCCTGGAGAGGTGGCTGGTGGGTCATCTTTCAACAGGCCGCAAGATCTACCAGAGGACCCAGAGCCCAGGGTGACTGCACGAACAAATGTGGCAAGGGGGAGGAGAATCCCTGGTTTTTTGAGTATGACACAGATGCTCACACGCAAACACACACACATACACTCACTTCTTGATCGCCGTTATAAAAAAAAATAGGTTGGAAAATATACTTAAGGAAAAAGGATAGAAATAATTAAACATTGAAGTTAATAAAACGAGGGTAGGAAGTTAAAGTTCAAAAGAAAAAAACAAAGGGTTTCGAGAATGACTTAGAAGATCACTATGAATATACATGTAATATAACATAGAAGAGCATCATTCCTACTTGGAGTAGGAAACAATTTCTTAAACAAGACATGGAAAGCACTAACCCCTAAGAAAAAGACTGATGAATTGGAGTTGGCATAAGAACACCTTGAAGAAAGGAGAGGGGCAAGTCGAGTAGGAGCAAATGTTTGTAACCTATTTAACTGGCGAAGGGCTTAAATCAAGAATATATAGAGAAGTCTTACAATCGATAAGAAAACAAAAACGTACTAGAAAAAAAAATGAAGACAATTCTTGAATACACATTTCACAAAGGGTAATCTCAATGGCCGATAGAAAAAGTGTTCGACCTCACTTGTAACCAAGGCTACGTTGACCATGTGCAAATTTTATTCTATACATGTAATTGCTGGGTCAAAGGGTAAATGCATTTGTAATTTTTGATATATATTGCTCAATCACTTTCTATAGGGGTTGTGCCTGCAACACCCTCGACCCCACCATTGACAAAGGAACCTGGATGATTGTTGATTGAGTCAGCAAACTGACCATCTGCTCTACACCAAGTCCCATGCGAAACATCTAAAAATTAATAAGATGCTGTTGGTACCTGCGTTTGAGCAGAGGGACAGACTTATGCGACGATCGAGTCTGTAGGAGGCAAAGCACCATAGTGTGATACGGGAAGGGCTATGAGAACAGGAACAAAGGGATAATTTATGTTGCAAGGAAATCTTCGGAGGAGGCCCCGAAAGACAAGCAAGCTGCCAAGGGAGAGAGAGAGATGTGTATGAGCCCTGTGGGAGCACGAACGGCGGCCTGGAAGCTCACCCCAAGATCCCTTGAGAGCGCGGCACGGATGAGGCATGAGAAACTGAGACTGGAGAGCAAACAAACACCAGAGAGAGGGAGTCTAGCTACCCGAGCCTTCATCCTGACAGCCGAGCAGTCTCTACAGGCTTGTGAGCAGCAGCGGCATGGCCAGGTCGTCCTCCAGCCCACTCTGCAACTCTGGGCTCCGACTCGCCAGGAGCGTGGGAGCGGGTGCCCGTTTCACCCCAGGGGATCATTCGATGTCTGAACTCAGACCTCACAATGGCTCCCAAGCAGGCCGGTTATGATGCAGGAAGAGTTGGTGACTGTCCCTCGGGCTCCCATGAAACTGTCTTGTAAAGGTTAACTCCGGGCATCGACGCCTCCCATCCTCGCCTGTTGCCAGAGTATGATCAGAGAATGGGAGAATGGCTGTCAGAAGTTTGGAAAACAGAGGGCTAAAGACCCAAAAGCCCGAGAACGGAAGACTGCAGAGAGGAAGTCAGACAGCAGAATGTCAGTCAGAACACCGAACACGAGCGATTCTTTTAGGGATAAAAACTTCCTGTGCTGCCAAGGGGATCGATGTTCTGCTTCACCTTTGGGGTGAGTGTCGTCTGTGTTTTCCATCCATTCCTTCCCCTCCATCTCAGACCAAGGCCAAGTGGAGTAACCTACCCTGTGGCTGCAGAAACCAGGGTCACAGTGGCCCTAGCCTGACTAATGTAGAATCACCCTTTGTGAGGTTTTCCATTCTCACAGGGAGACCTAGGAAGACTCTTTCCGGAGTTCTAATACACCTGTCTCTCTGCCTTCCAGGATGTGGACCAAATTCTACAAATCTGACCCACGCATTGCCCTCGGAAAATACTCTCCCTTGGAGAAAGAGATTCTAGTAAGTGCCCTGGGGTTTATACACAGGAAGGCCATGCTAAAGGTAGGCGGTTAGGCTAGGTGGAGCCAGAGGTTCCAAAACCACCAGCAACAGAGACAGACCCAAGTCTCCCAAACAGTGACTCGAGTTGGCTGTGTCTATTAGCAGCATCCGCACTTCATAGCAAAATACTCTTATTTCAAAATCTCAAACAGAAATACAACTGCAAGTGATAACAAATGACGAAAGCTGCCATTTCTTGACCCCTTACCTCACATGAGTTATTCTATATATGCTGTCCTCTCGAGTCAATAAAATTCCTTCAGATTCATGGTAGGTAATAAGGAGAGTCAGGATTTGAACCCAGGCTTGTCTGACCCCAAAGATTCACCCCCTTTCCCACGACGCAGAAGCTCATACCCACTCAGCAAGGAAGGGAGAAGGCGCCACGAGCTCCTTCGTCCTGCGGGTGCCCCCTTCTCCCGTCCTGTGGATATGTTAACAATCCTTGTCCCGTTGTCAGCGTCTAGGTGGCGTTCACACCGTAGCATCAAGAAAGTTTCTGACTTATAAGAAAGAAGAAGAACGGAAAATGCTCAAGGAACTACAGCTGATGTCTAGAGACTACAGACAGGCGATGGAATATGAAAAACAACATTTCCCTTGTGCCACCTGCGGGCCTCAAGAAAAAATGTGGACAGCCAAGGTGATCGTGCCCCCGGAGGAGTTCAGAATGCCGCGACGGGAGCAGCTCAACATCAGCAAACACATAGAGCGAATGCAGTTCGCACGCGCCCTGAGAAACAAGCAGCTTTTGCCCTACGTTGAAAGATTCAGGGGCTCTTCCTTTCTGTCTGAAGGGGGCCTGGGCCCGACGGTGGACAACCAGGCTGGGGAAGACGGAGAGGAGGAGGAGGAAGATTCCTGCGACGATGCCACACAGGAAGAGAGAGGCAAGGCGGAGGACAAAAGCACGAAAAGACAAGAAATAAAAGTGAACGTAATTTTCAAGTCAGAAGAACGAAAAAAATGTGTCACGTACCATCCCAATGATCTGAAACCGCTATTTTCCACAAAGAAAATGGAACGGTCCATCGCTGGTTTTACGAACCGAAACCTTCTGCCCTTAGCTGAATTCCCTGGAGACCTAATGCTAATGAACCAGGATTTTATATCACGAGGAGCCCACCTCAGTGACGTGAGGAAGGCCAGCGGCCAGGAAGAAGAGAGAGTCTGGAAAGAGCACCTGGGCAAACCTGCTTCTCGCCGTTATTAAAGTTTTATTTATTCACCGTGGTGAACGGAGTGTCTTGGTCCTTATTCCTCTTGCGGCTCTGCCCCAGGCGCCTTCCCGCCCCGTCATCTTTTGGGACCCGATTTCCCAGGGCTCCTCAAGGTGAGACCTACTTGCTAAGGTTCCCTGGTTTCAGGTAACTCCTGGCTCTCAGCTCCCACCTTCCTTCTGAAGATACAGGCTCCTCCTTTTCATCTGTTCCCATGGGGACTGTATCTGTTACCTGTTTCTGTGAAACAAATCACCCCAAAATTTAGTGGCTTAAAGCAACAACCATTCATTTATCTTATAATTCTGTGGCTCAGCAGTCTAGGCTGGGCTCCACTGGGGGGTTCCCCTCCTCTCTGCTGGGCTCCTCCTGTATGTGAGGCCAATGGCAGGTCAGGTAGGATGTTCTTCTTCTGGGAGTTGACAACTATCTGCCAGGTCAGTGGGAGCGATGGGGCCACATGCTTCCTTCCTCCAAAAGGCCAGCCTAGGCATGTTCACGGGGCCTTTGCAGGATCTAAGAGACTAAGTGGAAATTTGCAAGGCCCCTTGAAGTCAAAACTTGGAACTGGATTCTGTCGGCCTAAACAAGATACAAGGCCAGTCCAGATGCAAGGACTTCATCTCTTGATGGGAGAAATTGCAAAGTCGTACTGCAAAGGGAATGAACACAGAGAGGCAGGTACAGATGGGACCGTGATTGCACTCAGTCTGCCGCAGAGTCCCCGGACCTGGGACCAGCCTTTAGCCCAGATGGGGCTCTTCTGACTCGAAATCATTGAGCACACACACTGCCCTTTTCTCAAAAACCTGCAAGCTAAAGCTGGACAACTCGATGTAAACTTTAGAGAAAGCACCACCATAGCTCATGTTTGGACAATGTTTGTACCTGCTGCTGTATGGGCCTCTCAGGAAGTTCACCAGAACACCTGATGACATTCCCAGAGACATTCAGATGCAAATCGGGAAACTCTGCCAGATTGCCAGCACCGGCCCACACTACGTCGGAAGACACCTCAAGCCCAGCATCTAGACATCTTGACCAACCATCCTCTGGACTCAAAAATTTAGTTTATGGTTTGTTACCACCATTAATCTCTGTTTTTCTTTTGTTTCGTAGAAATTTTCAAGACTGAGAGATCGGTTCAGTGGGTTATAGCATAGCTTACTAAATCAGTTTCTGGACTGTGAACATCTTGGGAGAAGTTTCAAATGGGGGAACATGGAGTTCAAGCCATGCTACCCCCAAAATATAGCACCTGGACATATTGAACATCTTAAGAGTAAAGAGTTTGGGGAAATGACAGAAGCGGGAAAATCACTCTAAACTCCCTCCACCTCTCTCTCCTCCCCTGAAGCGGGTCATAAAACTCCCATGTCAAAGTACCCCCTGTCTCAGGAAGAAGGAAGACATTCTTATCACCAGAGATGGGGAATTTGGGGCTAAGAAATCTGTACAAACAAATCTTGTTAGATTAACTCTCCTCGTTCCTTCTCCACCATTTACCAGACCTGGCCCAAACGTCTTTGTCTTGTCAAATCTTCACAAATTTACTATTTGTTTAAAAGCTTCCTTGCTTGAGTAACTTCTTTGGGTCTTAATTCTGTGTGAAGGCTCGCGTATACATGTAAAAACTCAATAGAATTTGCATGCTTTTCTCCTGTTAATCCTTCTTTGTCAATTTAATTTTTAGGCCCAGCCAGAGATTTTAAGAGGGTCAAAGGAAACTTTTCTTTCCCTGAAACATGCATGTCTGCTACTTCCGTTGAGTGTTTACCAAAATCTCCAAAAGCCAAAGTTGTCCAAAAATATAACCCAATAAATATCAAAAAATAATCCGAGGGAAACATGCAAATAAAATGCTTGAAAAACGCCCCTCCTAAAGGTGTATATAAAATGATTCTTACTGACCTTAAACTTTATTAACTGGGCTTTTCAAAAAATCAAACTGTGGAGACCGTGACAGCACCAGAACGCTGGTCTGCACGCCGCTAACCACGCGGGCACTTTCATATCCACACTGCGGAAAGGGACGTCAGTATCAGTTTGAGTAATTATCACCATCTTTGGTACAAACTCAGAATTCTTCATACGAAATAGATCCAGAGTTCAAGACTTCGTTTTCAGTGAAAATATCTAAATTTCTGTAGAGATTAAATGATGCTCTAATAACATCTCTCTTTTTCTTTTGTATTCTATGGTAATTTTTACTTGAGTGATTAAGCACAAAAGATTTAAAATCCACGAAAGTAATCTAGTGCATCAATGACGTTCACTGTGCATTCGGGCGAGGCCACGACTTATCAACTGGTAAGCAGCATTCTTCCTAGTCAGTAGTGGAGCGTCTAAGGCAGCCATTACCCTGGGTGAATGTACCACTCTGGTGAGTGACAATGACAGTGGGAAGGCTGGGCGTGCGTGGGACATGGGCTATCTGAGAAATCTCTGTGTATCACTCTCCATTTTGCTGTGAGCCTAAAATTGCTCTGAAAAGCAGTTTTAAGGAAACTACTGGTTTTCCTTGAAACTAGGCATGAATATTAATGGTTCAAAAGCACTGATACCATAAAAATATCAGCGCTGCCAAACAAATCTATTCATTTAATGCACTTCCAATCAAAATCAATAGTTTTAAGAGTAATGACACAGGTTTCTTTAAAAAGAACTCTATTCATCCATTCGTTATTCTTTCATTCGATAGATATTTATTGTTTGCCTACAAAAGTGGAATTAGGAATTCAAAGTTTTCTGCTCCCAAGACAGTAGTTTCAGACAGTTTTATAAGGAAATAACTCTTAGAAACTAGCCACTGAAGGGGAACAAACTTAATGTCACAAATTGTAACTATGAAGAAACCACTAGCAAATTTTTGGTTGAGACTTAGGAAGCAATTCTGTTAAAATTCAGAGCAGGACAGAATGACTGTCATCACCTCTTTTAGTGAACATTGTAACGGAGGCTTTAGCCATTTTTTCCACAAGAAAAGGAGTAGAGGTTATAAGAACTGGCAAAGAAGAACTAAAACTATCTTTATTTTCATTCAATATGATATACATTGAAAATTTAAGATCATCTACAATCAATTTATAAGAACTAATATTTAGATTAAGATTGCTGGATCAATATAAAAAAATAATAATGTTTCTAATTGTAATAACCAATTAGTTGCATCAGGTGTCTATGGAGGAAATTTATAAATGGTATTGAAAGACATAAAGTAAAATGTGATGAAATGGAGAGACATAAATGTTAACAGTTCAAAAGCCTCGATGTTATTAAAATACCAATTCTGCCCAACAAATCTATTAATTTAATGCACTTTCGATCTAAATCAAATTCCTAGAATTTGACAAGATAATCCAAAATTCATATGGAAAAACAAAAGATCAAGAATAGGCAAGCCAGTTTTGAAAAGGATCAAAAGTCACACAAACAGAAGAGAAACTGGACCTATCATTCATTAAGGATAGTTATAAAGCTTTGGTAATTTACTTATCATATTATTGGCAAGAGGAAAGATAACGAGACTGGCGGCAGAAGGACAATTGGGTGTCCATATAGAGCCAAATAAAATTAGTATCTTACCATTCACAAATAATCAGTGGCAATATAAATGTCCATCAACGGGAAAGTGGATAGATGAATTTGAGATTTCTTGTGCAATGGAATACTTTACAGCAGTTAAAATGAATGACCTAGAGCTATTTCTAGCAACCTGGATAAATATCAAAAAATATAATATTGAGAAAGAAACATTCCAACATTTGCAGGGTAAAACCGTTAGATAAACTTTAAAACCAGTGACACAGTATTCCATAACGCATGTGGATGCGTCAGTGTATACTAAACTTACAGAAACCTGCACAGTAATCACAAAAACTGGATTTGGAACATAGAACAGCTCTTGGGAGGGGTCTGCAGGGAGCTTTATTAGAATCTGTGGTATTTTATTTCAATTTTTAAAAGCTCCTGAAACCAATATGTCATAATGTGAAGACTGACAAACCTGTATGGTGGGTACAATATATTCTGTTCTTGGCTATAATTTTGAAATGTCTCACGCATACCCAAAATAAAAATTTTAGAGAAGATTCATTTAAGAAAATTTTCTTTAAACAGATAAATTGTTTAGTTGGAATGTAGGCTCAAATTGTGCAAACCTTGAGAATAGTAATAATTCTTTAATCCGACACTTGCGTGAGCACAGGCAGCTGAGATGTAGGAGCAAGTGGGAAATGGATGTTTCCTTCCTTCCTTCGGTTATCGGAAAAATAGTTTTGAAGGTTATAATGTTTACCTTTTGATGGTTATGAACCAGGTGCGCATTAGGATGAAAATATAATTAGGTAACATCCTCCCCACCTTACATTACAAGCCCTTGAATACCACCATAGTTTTGAAACCAGGAATGACTTGTAAATCTTTAAAAGCAATAGTTCTCTTCTTTCAATGTGTTTCAAGTTTATATGGAAAAACCTCTCCTCTAAGTAAAATGCGATGCTTGGAAAACATCCACCTTTCTTTTCAAAAATGGCTGAAACGACCCCAGACATGGAGGATGAGTTGAATTGTCAAAAGCTGTGATGGAGAGGATTTCAAGGTAAGGGCTGCCTTAGATGCTAAATCTACACTATTCACTAGAAAGAACACTTATCGACAGGTAAGTAGTGGCCTCATCGGAATAGAGTGGCATCCAATGATGTATTAGGGTATTGTAATGGCTTCTGAATCCTTTGTGCTGATCTCCATGGTGGCCACTACCACAGATTACAGAAGAAAAGGAGAGGTGTAACTAGGGCCTCTATTAATCCATGTGGCCATCTGGACATTTTCGCGGAAAGCGAAGTCCTTTGTACTTTCTGAGACTGTTTCATTAGAAAAATTCTAGGTTTGTACCACAGAGATAATGACGCAGAATGTACCATGGTTCTTTGCGGCAACGTGAATAGAAATTGCAGCTAAAAGGAGTCACGTGTGTGCCATCTGCCCCATCGGCGTCCCGATTTCTGAGACGTGGGTTGTGACAGTCCGGTCACTAGAGTTCAAGTCAGTAAGAGTTGTTTATGTAAACCTTCAGGATAGGTGTCCGCCAGGCATTATATTTTGAACATTTCCTTCTGATCTTTCTTGATATTTATCAGGTGGTATTTTCAGACAGCGTTGACTGGTGTTTGGAGATTTTGGTGAAACAC